TGCAAAGGTGTTTATGTGAGTAGCTTACGTATAATTATAGAAATATAGTACAGTCGAATCTCATTAATTTGAACACGCTTAATTTGAACTTCCGGTTGATTCGAACTCACGATGAGGTCCCGTCAAAGCTGTGTGTATTCCAATGGAGGAAAACGCCCGGTAATTGGAACGCCCAAGCACTTCCGGTGGTCAATTCGAACATACCACGCTCCGAAAATGCTCCCAGCCCTTCGCCCAATCCCGTGGCGGCACCTGCGACACCTCAACGCTGCACGCGAAAGAAAAGAAAAAGGAAAGAAAAGGTTGCGGTGGTATGTTTGCTCTATTTCAAATGCCGATCTGCGACGCGCCCGTGTCATACTCCTCCCTTTTTCAACGCCTCGCGCATATAGAGAGAGGAAAAAAAAAAAAAACAAAGCTGTCGCTGGGCCAACGAATGTATGGTTGCAGGAAAGGAAAAAGGCACTATCTTCTGCAGCCCTTGCCCCTTGTGGGAGCACGGATCTGCGCCTCGAGGGGGGCGGCGGGGGGGTGGGGGTCTTTCACGCGCCGGTGCCACGTTTCCCCATTTTCTGTCTCTGCCACGTAACCCTTCTTTCAACGAAGCGCGGGAAGAGAGCAAAAAAAAAAACTGCCGTGGAGTGTTGGTTTTCTCTCAAATGCCGATCCACATCTCTCGGAGTGGAGGAGGAGGAGGAGAAAAACTTTATTCAACAGAGGAGTTTGGAGCACGCAGGCTCCCGGGCCCCCGCACGACCCCTTTGCGCTCAAGCGTTCATTTGGTGGTGGTCCATGACGCTGGCAGCCTGGTCGGCCGCCATGGTCTGCTCAACCGGATCCTCTGAGCGCAGTAGGGTCTCCCAATCCTCCCAAGTCTTTAGGTGCTCTAGGGCCCGCGGGGGAGGATCCGCCGGGCAGTGAGAAAGGATGTGTATAGCAGAAGCATGAGGTTCAGGGCAAAGGGTACAGGCTGAGGTGAGGAAAAGGGGGTGATAGTGCGATAGAATGAGAGGAGAGGGAAGAGTGTGAGTTTGTAGCTGGTGCCAGAGGGTTGCCTGCCGGTTGCTCAGGGACTTATCCGGTGGGGGATATAGCTGACGTGCTGCCCTATAGGCCTGAGTCAGCTCGTTGAAAGTGTGCGCGCGGTCCTTCGTGAATCCCAGATCGGAGGCCGCGGGAGCCCGGTTTAAAGAGCCTCGGGCTAAGAGGTTGGCGGCCTCGTTTCCAGGATTCCCGCAGTGCGCGGGCACCCAAATCAACTCCACTTGACGGGGCGGGGTTGCAGCGGGCGAATCCAGTATGCAAAAAGCAGGGACGTGAACTCGGCCTCGTGCAAAATTTAAGATTGCGGTTTTGGAATCTGATAAGACGTACCGTGCTTCTGTGTTTACGATTGCTAAGGCAATGGCAGCTTCCTCTGCAGCTTCGGGGGACGTGTCTGGAGGGAGTGTGTGTGTACCTATGGGAGAGAGATTGTGATCCACCACGGCAGCGACCGCTTCATCACCCACACAGGCTGCGTCTACCCATACGGCGTCTGGTTCGGCGCCGTAACATAGGTGTAGAGTTTTAGCGCGAGCTCTGCGACGTTTATCGTGGTGGTCGGGGTGCATGTTACGGGGAAGTGGTGTAATGAGGAGTTCGCGGTGCAGGGGTCTTGGTATGGGGAGTAATGTGGGATCATTGGCGGGTATCTGGATTCCAAGAGAATGTAGAATATGCCGACCAGTGTCGGTTTGTGTAAGACGAAGGTATTGTGCTTGGCGGTGCGCGTCTATAAGTTCCCCGATAGTGTTGTGAAGGCCTAACTTGAGAAGTCGATCGGTAGGTGTACTTATGGGAAGGTGGAGGGCTACTTTGTATGCCCGACGGATGAGGGCGTCCAATGTTTCAGTGTCGCGGCGAGAGAGTTGGAGGTAGGGGTGTAGTAGAGCACACGGCTGAGTACAAAGGCATGAATAAGGCGACATAGGTCGCCCTCCTTCATGCCTCGGTAACGGCCTGAGACCCGGCGGATGAGGTGCGAGATCGCCCCTGCAACCTGCTTGAGTCTCCGGATTGTGTTTGTGTTCTTCCCATCACTCTGGATATGCATGCCCAGTATCCGGAGGGTGTCGACCTCTGGTACCGATCTGCCATCCAGTTCGATGACGATGGGTGGGGAGGGGGAGTTGCGGCTTTTGGGGCGGATGCAGAGCAGTCCGGACTTCTCTGGAGAACAGGTTAGTTCTACGCTAACTGCATAATTTTGCGTTAGGTTGGCGGCTGTTTGGATGGTGTCCTGTATGTCGCCGTCACTGCCATGGGTAGACCAGAGCGTGATGTCGTCTGCGTATAGGGTATGTTTCAGATGAGGAACAGTTGCCAATTGTCGAGCTAGGGGGATGAGGGTGATATTAAACAAGAAAGGTGAGAGGACGGACCCTTGAGGGGTGCCGACACTCTTTAGTGTGTATGTTAGGTGGGTGAGCGGGCCGAACTGAAGTTCGGCCGTGCGTGCTGTGAGAAAGGCCTGAATGTAAGTGTACGTACGTGTACCCACGTTCAGTGGAGAAAGTGCTGTCAGGATCGCATGATGCTCAACGCGATCAAAGGCTTTGGATAAGTCCAGAGCCAGCACTGCCTTTGTGTGGCCCGGAATGAGCGGGTTGAAGATGTCGTGAGTGATTTGTAGCATGGCATCTTGAGTGGACAAATGGGGGCGAAAGCCAACCATGCTGTGAGGGTATAAGTCACGGTCTGTCATATGCTGTGAAAGCCTCGCCAGTACAACATGTTCGAAAAGCTTGCCCATACACGAAGTTAATGAGATTGGGCGAAGGTTTTGGAGTGTAAGTGGTTTGTTGGGCTTCGGTATGAACATTACTTTCGCGTGACGCCAGGACTGGGGAAGCGTTCCTTCCTTCCAACACTGGTTGAAGTACTCCGTGATGCGAGTGATCGATTTGTCATCCAGGTTGCGGAGTGTTGTGTTGGTAATCAAGTCGGCTCCGGGTGCGGATTTAGTGCGGAGAGTCAACAGCGCGGCTCTGACCTCCGCCTCGGTTATATCTGTGTCGAGTTCGGCATTCGGTTGTCCTGTGTATGAGGGAAGAGAAGTTGGTATGCCGGGCGATGTGTAGGTGTCGCGGAGTGTATCCAAAAGATCATTGGGGTTGTCCATGTGTGCGTGTATAAGCCGGGTGACGTGGTGCTGGGTAGTGGTTTTCGTGTGCGATGGGTCGAGGAGGTGTCGGAGGAGATGCCACGCCCTTTTGGTGATCAGTCTGCCAGCAATGTCGTCGCATACCTGCCACCAATTGGAACGGCACAGCTCCTTTGAATGTATTTGGATTTGGGATTGTAGAGTGGCTAAGTGTTTCTTTAGCGTCCTGTTATGTTTACCCCGTTTCCACCGCTCTAGAAGGCTGTGGTAGGCATCCCATAGGTGAGCGAGTCGGTTGTCTAGTGTTGGAGTGTCTGTGGTGGTTTCAATTAGTTGCGTGTGATGTTGAATGTCAGTCTGAAGAGATTCCACCCAGTCGTTGATGTCGGTTATGGGATTGTCTGCGCGGGTGGTACGCGCAGCACGAAGAGCGTCCCACTTAATGAGTTTGTGTGTCATGTACGGAGTGGAGAGGCTCCTCCTTTTTTCGTCACGTGCTGGCCATGCTGCGGCTGCGTAGCGGAGAGCGGGAGGCTCCGCTACGCAGTCGTTGTTGTCCCTTGTCTTTAGAAAGTATCGGCGCCGGACATTTCTGCACGCAACTTCTCTTGCCAGGAGAATGCTGAAGCCAAAGTAGAAATGCTTTGCAAGTTGCGTGCGAAATTGATTGACTCGATGCAAGGCAAACGTGTGCAGACGCGCATCACCGATTATTCAATTAATAATGGATGTCCTGTGATTTGTGAATAAATGTAAGTCTTCCAAAACTTCTCCCTCATGTGTTAGCTCAATGCACATGCGCCACTGCATGGAGAGCCCTCCGTTTATTTAGCTTTCATTAATTCGAACAAATTTTCGGGCCCCTTCGAGTTCGAATTATCGAAATTCGAGTGTAAAACCTTTGAAATGTCGCAATGTCACTCAATCATGGCCTTTGTTCAAAGAAAAAGTTGGAAAGAAAATTTGTGTTATTAGCATATTGAAATAAAAATAGGTATGCTAAAGGGAGGATGAGAAAGTGAAACTCTTTCAAGAGTTCAGTTTGCAAGTGGACTGTCAATATATTTCTGTGCAAACTTGCTGGAGAACGCTCGATAGTCAGTGGTGCTCACTAGCAGCAGTTCACCACCTTTCGGGCTCTATCCAGTCAGTGTGCCAAGGGTTAGATCCCCAACCCTCTACTAGTCTGTATGGCATGCGGTGCATTAAAGTGGCCTGAAACACTTGTTCAAGTAACCATGGAATGAATTCACTGGAAGAGCTTATTGCCTCACAAATTCAATGCTGCAAAAATTTTAAGAATCCGTCCAGTGCGAGTGAAGTTACACAAAGATTTGTCACATGTTGCAATTGCATTCTCTCTTCTCTCATCCCGTCGAAAGTGCTGGACGCTAAGTAGGGAGGGTTGGCAGGGGCAAAAAAAAAAAATGTCACACGTGCCTCCTCACCTTGAGCACTTTTTCTTTTTTTTTTCTTCGAATGCACGGCTTTTTCCATGTGATCACGCGCACACGCGTGGATAAGTCGCGGCCCTCCGCGGCGATCTGTGTAACCACTGAGCGCCATGCTCAAATCAGCTGATAGATGGACTTTTAACGAGTGACTTTTGAGCATCTTGCATAATTTGTCGAGAGAAGAGAAAGCAATTTTTAGCGGAATATGATAATTTATTGTGGATCAGAGGCCACATGCTGCTTTATAATATTTGGCTCGCGTGCTGTCGGGAGCCTCTACAACCGATTGGCAGGGTTTTCTGACCATGCTGAAAAGGTGTTGCAGGGCCCCTTTAAAATAATGTTTCTCTGCTTGCCAGTGAAGCTGTAGTGGTGCAGTAACCCTTTACACTATTTTCCAGCTCGTCAACTGTCAACGATGAGATTTTGGTCCCTCTGACTGGTATGTACACTGACTCTTTTATAATTTTTATTTGTTTAATAATAAAATATTGGGCCTGCTTGTTGGCGGCAGTATAAATTCTGGCTGGTTTTACTCTCAAACCTAATTGCTTTTATATTATCATCATCAGCCTGGATATGCCTACTGCAGCGCAAATGCCCCTCCCATGTTTCAAAACTGCTTGCTGGGGCCATGTCATCCCATGTCATTTTACTTGCTGGCCATGTGATTTTATTTGCTGGGGCCTTGTCATCCCCGCAGCCTTCTGAATTCCATCTGCCTCCTCCTGGCATATTTGCCTTCTCTTGGAATCCGGTCTGTCACTCTTAATGACCAGCAATTATCTTGCCTTCCACCTTCTTGCTTTTGCATATGTACAGAATGCCCCTGAAAAAGTTTAAAAATTGCTTAACTTTGAAAAGTTTAAAAACTCACGCCAAAGTTTGAAAATGTGCTGACACACTCTATGATGATGTGACCAAATTCATTTTGCTGACTATCGCATGGAGTAATTCATACTATTTTTTGTTCTGATTAATGGCTTAATAAGGCAAGTTTGTCAGCCAACTTTAAAGCAGTGAAGCTGGGCATGAAATTACTTGCGAGTGTGTTGTAAATCAAATTGCAAAACTTTTTATGAGATAATTTCTCACTATCGATAATTAGTGTCTTTCTGCTCTCCGTTGATGCCTGTGTAAAAAACAAAAAAAAGTGACATGTCCGCTTGCACATCTGTGCACACCGTGATTGCAGTGCCTATCAACATTTTCTGAGTGATAGCATCTGGCCTGGTTCACTGCCACTCATAGATGACAGGGCAGTCTCCTGGTAGCACAATTGATCACTACTCTCTCTGCTTATCGCTATCATGAACCACTTTGAAGGATGCATATCATTCGGATGCTAAACCTGAGGTGCATGCTACATACACAGGCGAGCATGTCACATGGTATATTTTTGTGTTTTGTGGGCATTTATATTAGGCAGAAAAATACTGATACCAAATTTATAGAAAGTTAGAAATGATCTAATTGGACATTTTGAAAACTTATTTACAACTTTCTTATTATTATTTTCTGACCAGTCTCACTGCTTCAGAAGTTGGTTAATTAACATCTAGAACGTCATTATTATCAGCAGTAGTGCTCTACTTATCAAGAAATTAAGGTGAATGTATAACACCATACACACCACAAGTGGGATATTTCGAAGTGATTCCAATGGCATAAAAGGCTCTGACTAAAATTAACAACTAATAGTCAAACCATTTGCAATAAAAAAAAAGACTCTTCTGTGCATTGGAACACAATAAAATGCTGCTTCTTCGTTTGTTTGATTCATGGAAAAAAAGAACTGCTTGGTGTTACGGTGGACAATGGCACAATTGGTTCAAAAGTTCTGTTCTTGCTTGGTTAGGCTGGATGGGTGGTTCCATCTAGCTGGGCCCACTTGAACCAGGCAAGCACAAAATTTTTATTGCAGAAACATTGTGCATTCAACTTCTGATGGGAATGCATTGCAGCAACGTAATTACAAATAAGTTGCCTTCTTAATAAATTTTTTTTCTTCAAAAACGCTAGGCAAATGGAAACGTGTCTATGACTATGGTTGCACAAAACATCATAAGATGTGCCCCGCCGCGGTGGTCTAGTGGCTAAGGTACTCGGCTGCTGACCCGCAGGGCGCGGGTTCGAATCCCGGCTGCGGCGGCTACATTTCTGATGGAGGCGGAAATGTTGTAGGCCCGTGTGCTCAGATTTGGGTGCACGTTAAAGAACCCCAGGTGGTCTAAATTTCCGGAGCCCTCCTCTACGGCGTCTCTCATAATCATATAGTGGTTTTGGGACGTGAAACCTCACGTATCAATCAATCAATCAACGTCATAAGATGTCAACACTATCATCCAGTAACCCTGCATTTCTACAATTCTTTGCGTATGTCGGCGGCCGTGCAGTAAATAAGACCAACATTCGGCAACGCGACTGCTACGTCTGAGAGGCCCATTTTCAGGCGGGCGACTTGAAGTGCACTAATGCTGTGTGGACCACTAACATGCAATGTTATCTCAAAATAAGCATTTCTCTGACATGAAAGTAGCACTACGAGGTTTCTGAATTGCCATTTTAGCCATAAACAACAATGCATTTAGGCAGAACACAAAAATAGTATGATTTACTCTGTGCTTTAGTAAACAACATGTATTTAGTTGCCTCAGCATAGAGTGCATTGGCATATTTTCAAACTCTGGCTAGATTTAGCTGGACATACAGTATAATCATACCACTGTTCATAATGTATGGCTTATGCATGCTGTCAGCATGCTTTTGCACTATACGACATTTTTCGCTTTTTTAAATGCATGCGTTTAGTTTGTATTCTGCCTACTAGGCACAGCCGTAGTTCTGCTGAACTACTTAAATATTTACTTCTTGCTCATCTGTATACCAAGAAACATGAATAGCTTGTATGGGTGTGTGGTGTGTCCAATAGCACTGTTCACAAGAATAGACGTACACATTTTTTAATGCGATAGCGTTACAGAGCTCGTTGCATGGAAATTCCAACGTCAGTGTCGGCATCGGTGTTGTTGGTTGTGAGCAAAAAATTATGATCTAATGCATGACCAAAACTTGAGAATGATGCAAATAAAATAAATAAATGATAAAAAAACCTGGAGCAAAGTGGCAACCGCACCAGGGTTGTTTGGGCCCAAGTGGGGATCGACCCCGGGTCGTTTGCGTGGCAAGCGGATGTTCTACCACATGGCCACGCCTGTGCTTGTGAAAACAGTGAGAACTTCCTATGCTTGGTAATGCAGTGAAAGTAGCTTTCATGCTCTACAAACACATGCGTCCTGTATACATGCTTCATGATGCAACATGAAATATTGCAGTAATAATGCGTGATACAAGCTTTCATTGCAGACGGGCGTCAGAATATGTGTAGTGGCTCCGTGGTTGAAAGCTGGTACCCCACTACAAAAGGCACACGCGCTACTGCGCCTATTGTCTTAATGGACCCTTGACAGCGAAAGTTTTGTTTGAGAGTTTTTTTCAGTAATTTGTAGCTTTGTGTCTGGTAGTGCCGAAATTTTATCGTAAATGCTCTAATGCATCATATAATTAATGCTAGCGGGGATAATTCAGAACGATTTTGCGGCATCAGTTCGAAACGCCCGCCTAAATACCATAAGAAACTAGCACCCCAGAGCAAAGCAGTACCTAAAGCTATGTGCGCTCAAGCTTCGATGACGCTGAAACATGCTGTTTTCAAATAGGGGGACCCGCGGAAACATACATCGCGAGCATGTCCGTGAGGGTCCGATTTAGCTGTTCAGTAAGGCCATTTGTTTGGAGATGTTAGGAAGTGGTCAGCTTGTGCCGCGTCGAGGAAGAGCGCAGAAGATCGTCGATTACACGGGAGAAAAATGCGCGGCCGCAATCCGTGAGTAATTGGCGAGGAGCGCCATGGTGTAGGATGACATCGTGGAGCAAAAAGTCTGCTACGTCAGTAGCGGTGCTGGTGGGGAGCGCTCGAGTGATGGCATACCTAGTCGCGTAGTCTATAGCAACGGCGACCCACTTGTTGCCCGATTTCGACTCGAGAAAAGGGCCGAGAAGATCTATACCAACACAGAAGAAAGGTTCGGTTGGGATGAAGATCGGTTGAAGAAGTCCAGCCGGGGGCGCAGTAGGTCGCTTCCGACGTTGGCATTTATCGCAGGACACGTAACGGCGAACGGACCAGGAGAGACCGCGCCAAAAGAAGCGGCGACGCACGCGGTCGTACGTCCGAGATACACCCAGATGACCAGCAGTTGGTTCGTCGTGAAGCTCATGCAGCACGGTTGAACGCAGATGTTTCGGCACAACAAGAAGGAGCTCGGGGCCATCTGGCTGGCGGCTACGACGGTACAGCGTGCCATTCAGGAGGACGTACATGTGAAGCGACGTGTCGTTCGGAGCAGATTCGAGACGGTCAATAAGTTGTTGCAGAGAAGCATCATGACGTCGTTCATCACCAGTGTGAAGAAACTGGGACATTGACATGACGCTGAGGCTAGGCTCGATGTCTGGTTCGTCGGGCTGATCAACAGTGTAGCGGGATAAGCAATCGGCGTCCAGATGGAGACGTCCAGACTTATAAGCAACGGAGTAGGAATATTCCTGTAGGCGTAATGCCCAACGACCAAGTCCTCCAGTGGGGTCCTTCAGAGAAGAAAGCCACCACAGCGTATGATGATCTGTGATGACATGGAAAGGGCGGCCATACAAGTAAGGACGGAATTTCGAAACCGCCCACACAAGGGCGAGACATTCCCATTCTGTTATAGAATAATTGCGTTCAGGCTTAGAAAGCAGATGGCTTGCATACGCGATTACACGGTCGTTGCCCCGCTGAATTTGCGCCAAAACTGCACCGATTCCGTGACCACTCGCGTCTGTTCGCACTTCTGTAGGAGCATCGGGGTCGAAATGTGCAAGAATAGGAGGTGTCGTTAGAGCGGTGATTATTAGCTGAGAGAAGGCGTCAGCTTGAGGAGGGCCCCAAGAAAATGGGACGTCTTGTTTGAGAAGGTCGGTGAGTGGCCGTGCGAGTGCCGCAAAGTTTTTCACGAACCGGCGAAAGTAAGAGCAGAGGCCCACAAAACTGCGAACATCATGGACAGAGCGTGGGACTGGGAAGTTTGTGACAGCACGTACTTTCGCTGGGTCTGGTTGTACGCTGGCAGCGTCAACAAGGTGACCCAACACTGTAATCTGACGAAGACCGAAGTGGCACTTGGAGGAATAGAGCTGCAGGCTGGCCCATCAAAATATGGACAGGATGGTCGAAAGGTGTTCAAGGTGGGTTGCGAAGGTAGGTGAGTAGGCAAGAAAATGATCACGTCGTCCAGGTAACACACACATGTCGACCATTTAAATCCTTGTAGGAGCGTGTCCATCATTCTCTCGAAGGTCGCTGGAGCGTTGCAGAGACCGAATGGTATGACCTAGAAT